CACAAACAAAAAGCAACGGTTTCAGTGTTTTCAGGTGTGACGACTTCTGATGAACTTTAGTTCAACCGACGGACCAAAATGAACTGAACTCCACAATCACTGGTATTTAAAATGATCATATAATTACTAATAGATCATGTCAACAAGTTTGTAAGTTTTTAAGGATCTGAAATTTGGCAATTAATCTACTACAATTTTCATTTTGTATGAAATCAATGATCACATTTTAAATTGAACACACGTTGGCTTAATTACCAACATCATTATGTCAACACACGGTTAGCCTAAAGCAATGAATTAGAATATCTTGCGACTATAAATGTAATTATTTGGCTCTAGCTGGTCCTCTCGATCACTGTTTAGAGCGCAGACAGGGATAGAAGGTTTTACAAGTGAATGAATCAGCCTCTGAATGAGTCGCTGCTCCGTAGTGGAGAGAACAGAATGCTAATGCTAACGCTAGGTGAGCAGGATGGACAGACGGACCACGAGTTTCAGAAACATCACCTGGATGTAATGAGGAGAGTCAGAGTGCTGTACGACTGCAGAGCGGAGGGATCCGGAGTCTTTTCCATTTATCTCGCCACAGACCAGAAAAACTCCCGTAACCATGGTAACTGTAACTGTACACAAAGATAGCAGCGACTCTCGCCTCGAAAGTGCTTAAGAGATATAAAAATTGCAAATGAAAAAAAGAAAGAAAAAAAAAGAAGCGACTCTAAAATTGATCTACTTTTGTGACTGAAACCAACATGAGCTGCATCACATGAACACGTTCTGGGGGTTTGGGAGCCTCGTAGGCCTGAGAGGTTGGTAACGCCGTCACAACGGCAAAGATCATGACAAATGAGATCACAAAATGAAATCACCACGATGATCACTTGGTAACTCAAGCAAGACAACTTCTATAGGAACACAAATGACGATACATCTGTGCACTAAATCAAGGGATGTCAGAGCCAGTGTTGGTGTGTGATGATGGGAATCAGTGTCAGGAGCTGAAGTCACTCAAGTCAATTAAGTTAAATTGCTCCAATTCAGAGAAATGGTTGGCGTTAAGCTTTTATAATCAGACATCTGACAAATAGAATCGGTTATTATTCATCTCAAAGCACGACAGTGACGTGGAAATTGGATGATTGAATCAAATGTTGGCTGTTGGGGTGGATTCATTTGATATGGATCGAATATTAAAACCATTCTTTAGAATAATTCACTAATCGGTTGATACATTAATTGACTAATCAAGAAAAAAAACTATTCAAATATGCAGCTCCAGACTGGATCATGGAGTTATGGGTTATAGGCGGCGGTGGCTCAGGTGGTAGAGCAGGTTGTCCTCTGATTGTAAGGTTGGTGGTTCGATGCCCCACCCCTCCACAGGGGCCTTGGGCAAGACACTGAACCCCAAGTTGCTCCTCATGGCAGGTAGCACCTTACATGGCAGCTCTGTCGCCATTGGTGTATGAATGAGAAAACACTGTAAAGACCTTTGAGTGCCGCTAAGGTAGAAAAGCGCTGTATAAGTGCAGACCAGCTTCACCTCTAGTGGTGCTGGATGCACCCAACAAGGCTCATTTTAACTAATGTTCTCATAACTCAACGCGGGTGAGCGGTTGGTCGTTGAGGACGGCTGTGGCTCAGGTGGCAGAGCTGCTCGTCCACTAATTGCCAGGTTGCCGGTTTGATCCCAGCACCTCTACATGTCTCTAAGTGTCCTTGGGCAAGACATGAAGTTGCTCCTGTGAATGGGTGAATGGGAACCACATTGTAAAGTCTTAGTGAGCGCCACTAAAAGGTAGAAAAGCTCTATATTTACCGTACGGTGTTGAGAGCAGCAGCACTGGGGGCCTTTCCTTTAACGGACACAGTCGCCGCCGCCGCATATGTTAAATTGATGAAGCCTCATTAGCGCCGCGAGACGTCGAAACCCACCAATCTGAGACGCCGCTAGCTCCACCTGTCTGCAGCCCGACGCGGCCGGGCTGTCAGACATCACAGACGTTAGCAGGAAATCACATCAGATCACAAACTGCTGCGACAACGCTCTGTTGTTGAAGAATGAAGCCTCCGTCAGGGCTGAGTGTTCAGAGAGTGACCCACGCTGCCTCCTCCATGGACCAACACTCGGCTTCCAATTTACTGATACCAGATAACGTGCCATCTTTTTACAAGATGGGGCTATTAATGGTATATTTTGGGGGGATGTACATCATGAATGTATTCACAAGAACACATTTTGAACTATTATAGTTTATCGTGTAAATATAAATAGTTTAATTACGCAACAGACACGTTTTACTACAGCATAACCCACATGCGAGCATGAGTGCACTGATTTCTGCAACAGAGAAGCCCACGTATATGTTGTTTCTGCATGTACAACTCAAATTTATGCATTTATTCCAAGCACACCTACTTAAATATACAAATGTTTGTTCATTCATGAAGACCCATGAGGAGGAATTTGGTATTTTTTTATATATAAGGGTGAAAAAATCTAAAATCTGAGCAATATTTCTTTCTTTTTAACACTTGATTATCACCTATTATTGTCATACGAGCTCTGATTGCCTCTCCAGTTATGTGCAAATTATAAATGATGTTATTTCAGACTACTACAGTGTGTTTCAGTCCAATCTCCAGCTTTCTTTCCATCAGCCCGACCCAGAACAGCCACCTACAGCAGCACAAACTCTCACATCCATCCAGGCTTAAACGGCAAATTCAATTTAAACCACAACAAAAAAATAAAAAACAGATTCTTTTTATAGTGTCTGTCTGATCAGCACCCAAAGGCCCGGGGATGCCTCACTCCTCCACACCCCGCGACATAATGCAGAACCCCGGCCCGTTCCAGCTGCCTTCAACTCTCCGACCCTCCACGTCTAAATGATCTCTTTAAAACTCCTGCTATTGTGTCTCACCTTCCTCCTCCTCGCCCCTGATCCCTAAATCCTCTCAATTTGACCGTTATTTCTCCCCCCTCTCTCTCTCCTTGACTCCACTCACACTGTTGTTATTCTCATTTGATGGCATATTTTTCTAGCAGCAGCCACAAAATCCTTCTCAGCTGAACTCTGCTGAAGGAAAGGAATTAAAAAGAGGAGCTAAATATAAATATAAAAATAAATATTTCTCATGAAAATAAGCTAATCCGGTGCAGGACAGAGTCCCTCCTCGAAGTCTGATAACGTATGGGACAAGCAGTGATGGATGTGTAACAGTGTAGCGCCATCTACTGGGAGCCGTGGCGGGTGATTGTTGATTTGCGGGGTTGTGTAATGATCAAATGACTGGATGCCAGCGTACAGCAGCCTGCAGGGTGTCAACACTGCTCCCACGGACACGATCACGTTCTCAGCAATGCTTCAGAAACACACATGATTATATTTACTCCATGAACAGATTTTAACTAAAGCACGGAGACGAAATGTAATGAAGAACCTGAACAGGAAGGATTTTTCTTCTTCTTTCTAATGAAACAAACGATATTATTGTTCCACACAGTGCAGAGCTTGTTCTCCTTTTCTTAAAAGTGTGGAGCTAGTTGTTTAGAAGCTGTCTGTTCACATGGCAGACTTGTTTTTTTTTTTCCACTGAGGAGACGTCTGAACTGATTTTACAACAATGCTTTGCTTCATGCTGGAATTACTTGACTCTCCCATAAAAAAGAATAAAAAGTGTCACGTTTGTTGACTATAATGCAAAATACACCTTTTGGATGTACAGTAGATTATCAGCAATACAAATAAATCACCTTTTTTTCTATTTCTGTGCATGTGAGGATGACAACATGAGCAATTTATTTGTACTTTTTTAAACATTAGCTGCTTAAATGCCAAAAAAATATAAACAAATGCACATTTTTCTGCACAACACCACTATACTGTTGTGCAAAATCATTTTGTAGGTGCAAAATAAACTGATCTCTGCACTTGAATTTGAAATACATCCACATTTTGGTTCATTTCTAGTGGACTTAAAAGGAAAAATATATGTTATCTGGATTCAGAGGGGGGGAACCTTTTGAAAATGTGACAGTAAATTAAAAATATCTTCTGTGATTGTGATGCTGAACAGATTAAAATATTCAAACTGGTCTTGTAGTTTTTACAGTTTGCGTTCTTTACTAAATATGAGCATCATTTATTGTTATCTTTCTATCGTCTATATTTTATCCTACGAGGGCCTCTTTTGTAAAATCTGTCCAAGTAAAAACAAAAATAGAATCTCCCTTTTAGTAGCTGAAATCTGCACATCATTTAAAATCAATAAAACTGAATTTACTACACAAATATTAACCCTTAAATCATCTCATTTACCTGAAAAGCAACTTATTTATGTCACATCATGCTGTTTAAGTTTGGGCTGCTTTGTCTCAAACTTTATTAAAAGGTGAATAAATGATCAATTAGCCAAAATAAATTAGAAAAATGTGCTATTTTTATATCGCTAGCAACACAAAAATCCGAAACACGAGCCAACATGCTGACCCAAAACAACTAAACGCTGATAAATAAACATGGCAGCGACTCCGGGACCGACGGCAGCAACGTGAAGCCTCGGTGTCAAACATCTGCGTGGTGTCATGAAGTCGACGTGTCGCCTTCTCACACGGTGCAAACTTTACGCTTTTATAGGATGTAAACAAACTCCGAATGCAGCTGCACGCTATCATCGCCGCCGCTGCACCTTCCCTGCACCTCCACCTGCTTCGTCTTCAAAAGTGGAGGAGTAGGAAACCCCTCCACCTCCTCCCCTCCTCCTCCCCTCCCTCTCCCCCCCCCGGTATCAAATCCACAGCAGGATCTGGTGCTTCTCAAACTACCCACACAATAAAAGACACACACTCCTGCTCTGTAAACACGCAGTTATATCCACTCGCTCCACATCCGAGCATCATCGGCGGCAGCAGCATCATCACCACCGGCAGCAGCAGCAGCAGCGGATGATGAATAATCGCCTGCACAGGAATTGCGAATCGGCCACGCACTCACCTGCTGTAAATACATGAAGGTAAGGGCTGCGCAGGACAGCTGAGGACAGGCATCCACGTTGGGTAACGCCACGCATGTTCCTCCAGGATGCTGCATGTTCCCTCCTCTGGCTGACAAACTCAAACCCCCTCAACCCCGACAATACACAAGGCTGTCTGAGCGGCGAGGTGGAGAGAGCAGCAGCAGCAGCAGGATGGGAGAGGAGGGGGGAGAGAGAGAGAGAGAG